CAGTCTTGTACTTTTCTCAAGTGAAGATCAATCCAGACGTCAATACAAGCTTCAACCTGTTGGAGAACCATCAGATTACTTTTTCAACATCTCAGCTTAGGAAGAAGTTGATAGAGGCGGAGTAAAATCTAGGAGTTGAAAAACATCTCAAGTGGTTGTTCGGCTTAGTGATCAAGGAAGCCAGCTTGAAGTAGTTTGTACTAGGAGTGATAGTGCAAACCCTTTCACTAGTTGTGAAAGAAGAGTGGAGTAGGCACAGTTGGCTGAACCACTATAAAAATCTCTCTGTCCATCTCTCTTTACTTATCATCGTTACTTTCGTGTTTTGCATATCATATAACATCGACCAAACGCTAAATCTTTACTAATACGAAAGTGTGCAAAGAAAATTTAACTTAAGATACTATTTCCGCTGCGTATATCTCCGAAAGGAGTTTATTCGAAAAGAATCGATTAGAGTCTATTCACCCCCCCCCCCCCTAGACTCTCTGACCCTACCGGGACCAACAAGTGGTATCAGAGCGGTTACCTTGTACGGTAAACATTTTGCGTTACTGCCTGGTAGATCCCTTTTGCAAAACTTGCATAAGTAAAATTGCTATTTTTCATCTTTGCACAAGTTTTTTAGAAGAAAGAAATGTAAAGAGAACATTCTAACCGTTCTAGGCCTCTTGCCTTTAATCTCTCAAAATTTGATGATTAGAAAGTAAGAATGCAAGCACATCTTTCGGCCATTCATGATGAAATGTGGGACGTGATAAGTGAAGACCCTATTGTCGTTATGATGGCAAACACTCAGGCAGCTGCTCAAGGAGCAGATGTAGAAGCCATGATACCTGAGCCGAAATCACAACTCTCCTCAGATGAGAAGACTCGGGAAAACCTCGACAATGTTGCACGAGACATTCTCTATAAGTATTTACACGACTCGCTGTTCCCGAGAGTACGAAAATGCACCACAGCAAAGCAAATCTGGGATACTCTCATGATTTTAAGCGAAGGAGATGAACAGGAGAAAGATAACAAGTTCACTGTAGCCATGTAAAAGTTTGAGGACTTCAAAATGTTGCCAAATGAATCCATCACCGATATGGAGCTCAGATTCACAAAACTCATGGGTGATCTCTCGGATCTTTGAAAAGAGCCAACTGAAAAGGAAAAGAACTTAAAGATTCTTCGAGGGCTTCCAAAATCTTGGGATATGAATGTGACAGCCATGAGAGATCACAGAGACATGAAGACAACCAGCACGAGTAAGATCTTCAGCGATCTCAAAGCATATGAGTTCGAGCATGAGCCAAGGGAATCTAAAGAACCCGAAACAAGAAACATAGCCCTAGTTGCCAATTATCAAGCATCAACATCAAACAGGTCGAATTCTAATCCTCGTCAATTCTTATCTGACGAACAATATGATTTGTTTGTACGTGAAATGAAAAGGTTCATGAGGAAGAATAACTTCCAAGACTATCAAAGATCATCCAGCCGAAGGCAATACGAAAGATCTCCTCAATCGTCAAAACCAGAGACAATGGATTCACAGATGCTATGATATAACTGCCGAAAGCCAGGACATTTCAAGGCGAACTGTCCTCATCCAATAGTCAGCAAGCATCAGGATCAAAATGCAAACAAAAGCTCACCCAAAGAAATAATCGAATCCAGCAAGCGAAGTGATAATCCAGAATCATCAACCTCTAGACACGAGAGAAGAAGAAAGGTAATGGTGGTCAATGAGCCAGCTGAGGAAGCTCAACCCGAATCAAGCACCTCAAGCACAAGCTCAGAGAGTGATACTTCAGAAGAAGAAAAAGGTCTTCTATGCCTATTCAGTTAAGAAGAAGGAACAAATGACCTATGCCTAGTGGCTGATGATGACGAGGTAAATTCTCAAACCTCCTCTTCAAATCAAATAGAATATAGTTCAGATGGTGAAAGAAATCCAAATGCAACTGTCTTTGAGATGATGATGGATTTCAAAGTTGTAACACCCCTAAAATTTTAAACTTTGAATGCTTATGGAATAAAGGCCATACTATCATTAAATCCTAAAACAGAGCATAACTAACATAATTGTTGGGGTGCTATGCCACATCTGAGCTGGAGAACTCAGATGCACAGGCTAAACTATCTAAACATCAGAAATCCTTAGATCAATGTCAAATACATCATCATGGCACGTAGGCCGATATGGAACTAAACTAACTAAGCCTCGGGTCCAACTAGCACGCTCCGGAGCTACTCATCTGTGCCTGAAAGCCAAATATATCTGTTCAGCCCATAATGTTGGTAACCCACTCCAACGCGTTAAAATACAAGGTACACCTAAATCTCAATCCTTACTTGCCTCCTGACTTGATCAATCCCCACCCTACACTTATAGGAAAACAAGCATAACCTATTTTCTCTAATTTAAAGATCAAACTGCATCATATCTAAGAACGAGGGGAGTGACCTGTGTCTAAGCTTCGGGGACGAAGCTTCTTGTAAGGGGGGGAGGGTGTAACACCCCGTCTTACGGCCTCCAAATTCGGGTTAAGCATGGAATAAATTCCGTTAATATATAGTTAAAAAGGATTTAATTGGACTATAATTCCCATTAATTAATTAGTGTGGTCCACAATGGATCATGGACCCTTATCCTTAATCAAGTCTTTAATCCTGCTAGGAATATAGAATATGGGCCTTTACTATTCAGATTCTAGTTAGGACTCCTGAATCTATATATAGGGAATTAGAAAGCATTTAGAAACCCTGCCATGATTAATTTACCATGCGAGACATTCCCCGAGGAAACCTAGCAAAGGAATTCCCCACCACCGAACCTAGGAAGATCAATTGGAAGAGGATCTTAGAGAAGAACCTTAGTAGCCAAGGATATTGATTAGGGCTAAGAGGTAAACCATGTCTTAAAAAACCTATTTTCCTTGCTATTGTTTATTGGTTGGCTCCAATTGAATGATTAATTGTGTGATTTTGTATGTATATCTTGTTAGAGCTTGTCTTTAGGTTTATATGGTGAATTATTGCTAAACCGAGTCAAAAGTTATGCCTTCGCACAATTTTTAACCATAAAAAAATTAAATAAATAAATCGCCCGGTTCAGCCGGCTAGGAGGTTTAGGCAGCCGCCTAGACCGCCTAGCTGCCCGGTCGCGGAGGAGGCCCATTCCGGCCTTCTCGCGGCGGCCGGGCGGCGCGTATGCGCGATTTTTGCAACACTGATTAATAGGTTAAATGCGTTGATAATATACACACGTTTTGTTAATAGATTTTGTATTGTGTCGTCGACATGATATGACACGAAACATGTTTAAACCTGCTAAAACTATTAATATATTTATTGAAAAAAACAAAAAATTGAAGTTAAGTTATATATATATATATATATATATATATATATATATATATATAAAGAAATAAAAACTACAATTCAATCCATCAAACAAACTAAAAAGAGTATTCAATTTATAACATTCATAAAATGATGAAATAACGTAAAAAAAAAAAAAACATAATTAAAGAAGTCCATAGTAGTTTTTATTATAAAATTGAACACAATAAAAATTTATATTTCAGATTGTTGAACATCAATAACTGATGAAGAATCTTGGCCTATAATGTAGCAAATTCATCCTGGGTCATTTTCATTATATCTTTTGTAATCTCATCCATGACAATGGTTCTTACCTAAATGACAATGGTTCTTAGCAGGTTATAAACATGTTTTTGTAAACGGGTTCGTGTAAATGAGCTAACATGATAATATTAACAGGTTAAACATGTTCTTAATAGGTTAACGGGTTGACCCGTTAAGACACGAAACATAACGGGTCAACTCGTTAACAACACGGGACACGTTAAAGCTAAACACTAACCTATTATTTTCGTGCCGTGTTAACGGGTCGTGTCCATAATTGTCAGATCTACTTACAAGGTAACTTTTTAATAGTTAGAGGTGAGCTTTCCTATCATATATATATATATATATATATATATATATATATATATATATATATATATATAGTAGAGTTCCAATAGACTAGATTAGATGGGAACTGATTGATTTAAACAACAAATTGAACCATTATATTGGTTTTATTCGATCATTCATTTTTCTTTACGCAATAAATTTTTTACACTTGGCAGGAGTTATACTTCATGAAAATACATATAAAAAATGCCCCTCTATAATATGACAATTATCAATGTCACTACTGAATTATGAGTGGTGTAAATGTTACCCCTCAATTATCAAAATGGTGCACATATAGCCCCTCCTGTAATGGATATGTGGTTCCCCGTTAGTGTACGACACCGTTAAGTCGGAGTAAATATGTAATTTAATTGTTTTTTCCCTCCCTCGATCCGAAGTACCGGCGCTGGACAGCAGTGGGGAACCACAGGTCCGTTACGGGAGGGGCTATATGTGCACCATTTTGATAATTGAGGGGCAACATTTACACCACTCATAATTCAGGGGTGACATTGATAATTGGCATATTATAGAGGGACATTTTTTACAATTTTCCCTAAGTCTATTGTGAGATGTGGGCAAATTAAAATGTTTGCATTATTGTATCATAAGGTCAAATAAGTTGTAATTGTAAGTGTACAAATGATACACATTAAAATCCTTTTATGTTAACTAATTTAATTGTCAAAATAATTAGGAGTTGTGTTAAATTATATTATGGACCGTGGACCGTCTCCGTGTAAGGTTTCTACAAGGTAAGTTTATTTGATTATGGCGTGGACTAATCATATTGAAGAAGTTAAATAAGTCTTTAAAGACTTTTTCAAGGCTGTAAAATATGCATGGCGTGAGGTGTTAAAATGAGATGTGGTTGGTATTGATTGGAAATCTAAATGAAAGGTTGTGAATGAATGCTTGCGTGAGATAAGGAATAATTGTGGAAAGTTGGTAGCTTTGGAATGCTACTTAAGGAATTAGTTTCTTCATGCAGAACGGACGAATAATGAGAGGAGAAGGCATTCTTTTATTACATCTATATTAAAGAATATTATATTATCATCAGGCTAATTTCCCTTGAAGTGATCATTCGGCATGCACGTACCTCTCCGGCAACGGATGTTGGGAAGATTATGTATTCAACCCTCTTTGTAATTTTGGTGAACATCTAGTGGATTGGGCTGACGTGAGTTGCCCCGCAGACGTAGGAGAAGTGTTCCGAACTGCGTGATCAATATCTGGTTCCTGGTGTTTGTTTTTCTTACTTTAATTTATGTTTTCGTTTATTCGTAAATCAACATAATTAAGGGTACGTTAATATCTTAATTAAAAGTAAGTAGAATTCCAGGTGTTAACTTGCATTCAAGACCCACGTAACAATTTCAGTAATGAAGAGTAACTACTAATGTTTTGTGGTCTAAAATTAGGATTTTAATGATATATTTTATGTTTTTGTTGAAAATAAGGTTTCTATGAAACTGGAGAAAACATTGGTAGGATTAAAGACTAAATTGGAAGAAGGGTATTCATGGACTTTACTCCGTCAGTTAGATCATCAGCACGGTGTGTACCTAGATGAAGATTATCAAAGAACAATTTGTCACTCCAAGCTCGCTGTTGCCTGGAGATTAATGGAGGATTCTTTCGGACAAATCTTTGATAGCTACACAAAAATTAACGTTATCAAAAACGTCATTTACAACTGTGGGTATGTACTAGCTAGACACTATAGAAATTTCTATAACATCATGAATCTAAAGTTAGAAACTAAATTTCATTTTTGAATTTTGACATTATATTGACATATATACAGTGATAGACACCTTCTGTTTCATCATTTAAACTTTTGCAGTTCAAATTTCAATAGAATTGACTTCAAAGGCGGCTTCTACACCGCTGTCTTGGAAACAAATGGGGAAATAGTTTGTGTTGCAGCTCTAAGGTAATAATCATCAAACATATATGGTATATATTTGTTATATATGTGCCAATTTGGTTCCATAGTATATCGCATATGCTCTTCTTTGGTTTAAGGGAATGCGAAGTTTCTTTACACAATGCGAAATTCTTATCATATAAATGAGAATCTCATTCCCCCGCCTCCCCTTCAATTCTTTAGGAGTGTTTGCATCAAACTATGTTATACCACATAATTCAAATATTGAAGCTTCTATGTATATAATGTTGTTTTAATTTACAGGATATATCCATGACAAAATGATTGCTGAAATGCCTTTCATTGCTTCCCATTTTGCTCATAGATGTAAAGGGATGTGTAGAAAGCTTATGATTGCTATTGAATCTGTAAGTTATTTAATTTATCTTTAAAATTATATTTTTATAGTAATATACTTTTAATTTCCTTTCCTCTTAAATTAAGTCGTCATACACGCATATTGCACGTGCTCCCATATGACCAAACTAACACCTTTATTCCTCTATATTAATGTTTTTTTTAAAAAAAATAATAATTTGATTTGCCAACATATATGACATGCTTAATGGTGATATATTTATTTTGCAGGTGCTTTGCTACTTCAATATAGAGAAACTAATCATTCCATATGCATCAGAAAAGACAGAAAGTTGGAAGAAAAAGTATGGATTTAGTGTATTGGATGATGAAACAATGAAACATCTAATAAACTACAATGCATTGATGTTCCATGACGCTGTTAGACTGCAAAAGATCGTCCTTCCTTGCAACAAATGACCGAATTAAACATTACGCTACTACTGCTGCTTTGATGCCGGTTTCACGGCTGCAGCGGCTAAGGCAGCGTATGGGGGGAGTTTATTTGACCGGCATGGGGTGTCTGTGGCAGCAACGTAACTAACGGACCATTGGATTGTGTTTATAATTCTCTTCTGGCACGATAAGGAAGCACTTTCCTGGATCAAAGCGTGAGGTTTGGAGGTGATGGTACGGATGGTTTCTGATTGTCTTAATTTAGTTCGTGGTAGCTTTAAAAGGTGATCGTATTGATAAAACTTATGTTGGCTCTGTTATTCATTATTGTCTTTCTTTACATAGTTCTTTTGTTTCTTTAGAGTTTTATCATATTAGTCATTTTGTGAATCCGGTTGCCCATGCTTTGGCAAAGGTAGTTAGTGATCAGTATTCATGGTTGCAGTATGCGCTAGGCGCTAGTCGGGCGCCCGGACAATACCTAGGCGGAATCTAGGCGGCGCGCGCCAAAAAAATAATAAGAGATTTTTCAGTTTGACAATTTTAATGAGGCTGTTGTTACAGAAATTATGAATCTACAGTATAGAAATTATGAATCTACAGTACAGAAATTATGCATCTACAATATAGATATGAATCTACAATATAGAAATTATGAATCTACAGCTTAGAAATTATATGGATCTATCCGTTAACAACAAATGAAAAACAAAATTATGAATCTACATTTTCAAAGAAAAAAAAATTATGATATGAATCTACAGTATAGAAATTACGAATCTACCCCTGTGCTTCACCATGCGCATGGTGAACACGTTTCCATGGCATAACTATCCTTCAACACAAGGCCAGGCCTGCGGCTTGAAAAAAATTAATTTGTATACATTGTTTGGTGGTAGGGAATTTAATAATTTAAAAATATTCTTAAAAGTTCAGCCACGCTGGGTCACGAGTTCAAACTTTTCTAAGCTCATTTTAAGATTTGATTTGCACTCCCCTCTCTCTCATTATGTAATAAAAGATGTCATGTTTTGTATTAAATCAATTAGAATATGTTATATCATAAGAATAATAAGTCTAATATATACATGTGTTCTTAAGATTTCTCTAGTTTATATGATTGTCTTGTATTCCCATGTATGTTCAATATATTTCTCTAGTTTATATGATTTTTAAAACAACAAACAATATAAATTGTCTCTTTTGCCCTTCATTTTAACACCCACTTAACACCAAAGCTAATAGATCATTTTGGCTTAAAATTCAATAGTCAGAGGACCACTTTGGGTGCAATTAAAAGTCAAGGAACCAATTTGAGAAAAGGTCATAGTCAGAGGACCATTTTGGGAATTAACTCATCTTCAGTAATTGAAACAAAAATAAACAAATGGAGAACATATGAAGAAAAATGTTTTCACAAAAGTTGTATCTTAATACAACAAAGGAGTAAAGCTAATCGCCAAGGACACCAAGTTACTCCTTTATAGGGGAGGTTATGGGTTTGATCTTTAGTGGAGGCGGTAAATAGGTTTTACTAGTAAATCACTTGTGCGATGCACGGATAAATTTTTTATTATATATTTAAAGAAGAGTTAATGCCACATGGGGTCCCCGAGTATAGTGGTTTTGCCACGTTTAGTCATAAACTTTCAAATTGACCATCTGTGGTCCTTCGACTTTCAAATTTAATCATTTGTGGTCCAAGTTAACCACACATGGTCCTTCAAGTTTTGAAATTTAACCAAGCTGGTCCTCTCATGATTGGTTAAGATTTAATAGTCGAACGACCATGTGGTTAACTTGGACCACGAATGGTTAAATTTGAAAGTCGAAGGACCACAGATGGTCAATTTGAAAGTTTAGGACTAAACGTGACAAAACCACTATACTCGGAGGACCTTAGATGGTATTGCCTCATTTCAATAATAAAATTGATGATGAAATTATAAAGAATTTTAATATTTGAAAGTGTACATTTATTTGAAATTATAAGATTTGTATATTAGTGTTCCCGCAATTGATATATTAGGAAAAGTCTAAACAAAAAATAGAAGAAAGAGCATGGCTAATTGATATTATATATTTTAAGTAACAAAAATATACAATAATTAAATAAAGGGAATCTCTATGTTAAATTACCATAGTAAGATTAAAGTGTTAAATATTTTTTCAAAAAAAAAAAGGTGTTAAATATAGGTTGGAAAAATGGACGTAATATGTGTATATTTAATTTCTTTAATTATGGACATAATATGTGTATGTTTATTTTCCTTTAATTACCCACCGTAATATGTGTATGTTTAATTTCCGGCAAATTATATCGTGCACCGCGGTGCATAATCGATTATGCACCGCGCATAAAAACGACGTCGTTTAGTTTAATGAAAAGAAACGGCATCTGTTTCTCGCTGTTCCACACCCTTTCGCAAAAAGTAACTCTTTTATTCAGTTTCATTTTGTATACACTGCAATTTCGGTTCAACACAACTACAGTTTCATTTCGATATAACTACAGTTTCATTCGATATTTATAGACTCAAATATGTGAAAATGTTATTTAATTTTATTTTATATAGACTATAGTTTTATTAAAACACAACTACATGATTATTTTTATATAATTACAGCTTCATTGTACAATATACACTCAAATATGTGAAATGTTATTCAGTTTCATTTTATATATACACTGCAGTTTCATTTCAACACAACTACAATATCATTTTGATATAACTGTAGTTTCATTTGATAATATAAAAATAATATGTGAGACAATGTCGGTTTAGATATACTGTAGTGTCAGTTGGTAATTAACATATACAAAATGCACGCTCCGTTAAAACTAACGGCGCACCGTTTTTTTACTTAAAGAAACGATGCCGTTTTGGGCACCGCGGTCGATGATATAACGACTGTTAATTTCCTATATGGGTATGAAAATTTATCATTAATTCCAATAAAAATGAGTTCATTTTATTATGATTACTATATCGTAATTAAGGAGTATATATTATTCTTAATTAATATTATTTTAATTATGACGTCCATGTAATCTTAATAATTATGGTAATTAAGGACTATATATATTATTCTTAATAAAATAATGTGTATGTTTAATTTCGTTTAATTATTGACGTAATATGTGTATGTTTAATTTCTTTTAAGAGTTAATAACCGATTTGGTCCTCTGACTATTGCGAAACTACCGATTTGGTTCTCGACTATCTTCCTTACCAAATTTAGTCCTCAACTTTAAAATTTCTACTCGATTTCGTCCTCCGAATCTTTGACTGTGAAGCCACCGTCTAAATGAAGGACAATAATGTAAATACTCATGTCATCTTTGTTGGTCTCTTCTCCAACGCTGTCTTCTTGTCCATGGCGTCGGCGGTCCCCAAGGCGACAAAATCTGCCAGCTTCGACTTGTGGGTGATGAGGATTTCAGATGGGATAATACATGGATCATCATCCCAAAAGCATCCTTAAGACCGTGGTCGAGGTTCTGGCGCTGCAAAACGTGAAGGCAGAAGAGGAAATAGAGATGAAGTCGCTGTCGGATTTGGCCGCCGGTCTAATTCAATAGCCACTGCCCCCAAATTCTTCGGTTTGCAGAAAAATAAACCAGGCAACAAATCCAAGGGTTTGCTGAGCTGAATCACAAAAATGATACTTGAATCGTGAAACATAAAGACGGAATTGCAAGCAATCGATAGGAATGGGTCACCTTCGATGGTTCATCTGGATCCAGAGAACTGAGCGTGACTGCGTGACGGCTGAGCGGCGATTTGAGGGCGTGGCAACGAGAGGCTGGCGGCGATGGAATCTTCTTCTTCCATTTTCTTTATATATACTTTCCAAATTGGGTTGGAAACCCCCTTAATTTAACAGTATTTTTGCATTCCTAAAACGATTTTAACTCAATTTCGATTTTTGTTAGCATTTTTTTTAGCATTGATTTTTGTTAGCATTGATTTTTAACTCAATGCTAACTCGATTTTTGTTAGCATTGATATTTGAAGATCTATAGTTGATGGCGAAGGAATTCAATGTCCCGCTAGTAGTTTTGTGGCAAGGTGGGAACACGGGAACGCAGCAATGCCCTCCTCAATCGGCAGTGCCGTTTTAGCCACCCAAGTCATCCAACCCTAGCATCCCCTTTATATCCTTCAATGTGGGTTCCGCCGCCGCCTCATCATCTTTTGATTTACTCTCATTACCAAAATTGTGGGAAAAAACATATAAGTTCATCAAAATTTCATTGTTATTGAACAGATCATTTGAAGTGCTGTCAAGGGTTGGAAGAAAGAGAATTTGATCTAAACATGGTTTCTCATGCTCTTTACTGTGACCAGAATTGCATAGAGGTGAGCTTTCTTATATATATATATAGGCGGGTTCAGGTGCGGCAGTGTCTTACGGTGCGGCTATTTCTTACGGTGCGGCAACACCAATAGTTCAACAAATATGCACCATCAACGTAAGGAAAATACACCACACAAAACAGAATTTATCATTTTTGCGACGGAATCCATTCTGTAGTCTCAAGCCTTGTCGTATTTCAATTCATGACGGAAATAATCCGTCACGAACGTTGGCGACGGAAAATAGTGACGGAATTGTTCGTCGTGAAGTAGGCGACGAAAGTCATATTCCGTTGCATATTTCTATTGTGAAAGATAACGGAAATGTTTCTTTCTGTCGCCATTGTGTGATAAAATAATCCGTCGCAAAACTCATATTCCGTTGCATATTTCTATTGTGAAAGATAACGACGGAAATAATTATTGTCGCGAATCAGTCGATAACATTTCCGTAGAAAAATAACGAAACAAATTGTCGTCGCTATTCCGTCGCAAACTTTTCCGTTCCAAATTTTGGCTTCCGTCGCACAAATTTGTTGTAAGAAAATGACAGAATAAATTTCTGTAGCAATTCCATCACTATATTTTCTTTCGCAAAATTTGTTTTTCGTCACAAAATTTTGTCGTAAAATAATAACATAACTAATCATTGTCTTGATTTTGTCGCATTTTGGATGACAAAAATCTTTTCGTCGCCATAATTACAATAAATATTGCATCGCTAAAATTATATTTCATCGCAATTTTGTTAAATTATTATTTTAATATTTTGTAATTATTATTATTTTGTTAAAATTATAATATTTGTATTTAAAATGTTAATGTCCAAACTAAAATACAATATAATATGTTGTATTCAAATACCAAATAAATGTATAAACAACAATATAGTAATTCAAAAAAGAAAAATTAAATCAAGGTGAATTCGATCGTGATGAGGGTGATGATGAAGTACCAGCGCTCTCACTCTGAAGAGCATTTAATTTTTGCTACATAAGAACCATAGAAGCCTTCAAATTCTCAATCTCA